CGCGCTACGGCTGAAACTGCTTGCGCTGAAAATACTCGGCCACTTGTGTTAGACACTAAGCAGGGGTGCAGAAAATGTCAGATTGTTTCTAATGTCACGGTAACACCGGACAAGAGATCAAAGAGATAAAAAGGGGCAGTCACGTGGAACGTGCTGCCCTGATCCCCCTGATTCCAAAAGTATCCCCCTGAACCCTATGTGGTGCAAGAGCCTGTTGACTTACTGGTCGATGTGGCAGACGCAGGGAGGGGTTAGAGATATATGAAGGAGCTGGTGAGCTCAGTGAGTGCTACAGGTAGTAGACGAGGAGAAACAATCTGAGGTTTCGTCCCCTACATGGCTGGTCTTATATACACGTACAGCGGGCTATCTTACCTAAGCTACCTATCTACGGGTATAAGCAAATGGCCGTACATGAAACAATAGGATGTCCAGAAGTAGAACAATAAGTGGGAAGATCGATGGTTGCTGCAGTAATGCGTGTGCACATCGTGCCTATCTTGATTTCCCTTTTGTTCTCTGGTGTGAACATCGTATCTATCTAGGCTTCTGGCTAAACTAATAGGAAGCGGAAGGCCGATGTATAACAATAGTCCTTGTTCCCTTTGTTCCCAAATGGGTGCCTCTATTGTATCCTGGAATAGACAGGTCCGACCATATCATCCACGGGTCTGGACCATAACATGTGATGTGGACTATCACCTGATCTCTACGCGTTGCGTCTGTGGCTGAGTGGTGTGAGATATTAGTGAAGCACGTGATCTGTGGTGTGAGAAAAGTCACGTGTGGACTTTGTGGTGAAAATCTGTGACAGGTACAGAAAAAGAGAATATCATCGAACAAAGTGCACGACGCTGACAAGGTGATCATTTCCATTATGATAACTTCTGTTCATCCAGGATGGACCCAGAAGCACGGCTATCTATTCAATGATACCCAAATATATTAACCTCGACCCAAGACTCAAGGGAAACTTACTAATAACATACCCGAAGATATCCACGAACTGCGACCTTCGTACCTGGTAATGACTGGACTAAGATACCTGGCTAGTACTATATATCCAAGGGAAAGCCCAAGGAGTCCAGGCAAGGTGTGATGAGGATGTTCACACCCTAGGATGGGGGTAATAGGGGTTACACCCTAAAGCATAGTAGCAACCCTAGAATAATAGGTATTCTCACCAATACCAAGGTATATCTGGGAATAACCTTTTTACGCCATCATCATGATGCATACTCAATGACGCTAGACCTCGTTGATACCCGGTATCTATAAGGCTCGGCCCTAGGATGCCGAGCGCATGCATTGCCTGACAAGCATCGTAACTGCAGGAGACAATAGATTCAAGGATCACTGAAGCCGAATCCCAACTACCAACAGTCATTATTCAGATATACCCTTTTCCACACACTAGATTGGCACAGGCACTGATCAGATAAGATATCCAAATCAGGTAAGACCAAACCGAGATAGTGGTCACAACTATACCCAACTACAATACACTCGGCAATCTGACAGCTTCGAGTGCCACTATAGGAACTGAGCCTATTATATAGTACAATATCTGGAGATACCCGTAGAATACACTCTCCACTTTAGGACTTGCTGGACCAAGATACCCGGCTGTCCTCCACCCTATAGAAAGGGATGAGCCCAAGAGAAAAAGCAAGTAGGCATCAGGAAGACACCACATAGGATGGGGGTAATATATTCTACGATCCACGCTCATTACATCATGATCAAGGATTTGGGAAAGTACTGAGTACAGCTCAAGGTGGGCAAACTCCAGATAAGTAAGCCACGGACGTATATCAGGAAAACCCAAGATCCCATGGTAATGACGGAGTTAGAGAAACTTCATGATATCCAATATGGTAAACTGACACCCATCCTCTGATTACCTGGCTGCTTTGAGCACCATTATAGGAACCGTGAGATAATCACCTAATCTGAACAAAAGCAATAGATAAACCCCCATAACAAATGGTGGACCGAAGCAAGGATACCCTTATCATATTATAATGATTACTCCGATACCCTATCATATGATGGTTATACCCTCGAAATGAGAAGATGCACTGCTAGCAGCTGAAGGACTGCGATGCACATCCATTACTTGGTGTAGTCAGACTAAGAAGATGCTCTATATACAGTCTACAGCCAAGACGAGTACCCATCACCCGAACCCTCGATACCTGCTTGAGGCAATTAGAGCCAAGATGTAATTAGGAAGATTACTATATCCAGTCACAAGGGAAACAAGTTTAGGCAAGACGAGAAACCTAATCGACTAATACATATATACCAATCTGGCGCAACATGATCTCTACTAGAAAAGTACACCGGGCCATTACGGGTCACGAGTCACAAATATACCCATGACAAATGGACATCACAGACTCAAGGAGCCACTACAACACCATTACAGGCAAAGGATACCCACCGATGGTCGTACTCATTACCAACAAATCAGTAATACAAGGATCACAGCTCATGTGATTATACTCATTACAGTGTCACAGTATTAGGTGGCATCTTTCTTTTTGCACCATTAAAGTCATCATTCAGCAACCACAATTGGTTATTCTGATGCCTACCTTCATATTGATCTCACAAAGTGGATACTTGAACAAACAGCACAATACACATACATTGGGGATACGACTGTATCTACCACATGACCACCAAGCGCCCATGATTCAGCTACCCAGTCACGTGACACTGGCCACTTGCCCTATCCAGAAGTTATCAGGCATTGATCACGTGGCACCAGGTCACTTGCCCAGAATGAAACTCTTTGGCCCACAATAGGCTTACCCATGCTCATTGGACCATCAAGCTAGCAAGCACCCAATTTGCTGTCAAATAGTAGCACCAACATTAGAATATGCGCTATGGTGGAACCCCCATTGGCCACTCAATAAGTGGCACCACTTCAGCCACTCACATAGTGGCACCACTTTTCAGCAATTATCCCATTGGATGGACCATGGCCATTTCTAGATAGTGGTCATAGTGAAGTCCAGAACCATTACTGGTTCTGGCAATATGTTCACATGTAGGTATCTGAGGTCTCACAGTAGCACAGTGCCAGTGGCCCTGCCCTACATGTATATAAGTACCTATGAGGAAGCTGGGTATCCCCAGTTTCATTCATCTATTTCATGCAGCTTTACAAGCCATCACCCCCTCTTTGTGTGATATAAGGCTAAGGGCCCTTTGAGCCCCTTTTTGCAGGCTGCATGTCACTGCATGCCTTTTTGGCCTGACCCTTTGTGGCAGGTTCATATTTTGGTATTTGTGCAGGTCACTGAGCGCAGCTAGCACCTTGCAGCCATTTTCTTGCCTTTTGGCAGGATCTATGATGTGCTGTGACATACAGGGTCCAAGGGAACAGTGCGATCTGAGACATCACATACCCTATATTAAAGACCATTACTGGCAAAACTAATCTTCCATAGATGCCTGGAGTGGTGGAGGAAGCGACACCTGATCCAGGACAGATCACTGAACCCTGAAGGACAAAAGACGATGTCCAGTGTTGTAGAACGATCATCCATACCAAAATACCTGATCAATCTACTGGAAGCACGGACTTTACACGTCTATACCCATCATCCAAGCGAAGGGACCCTGGGAACCACACCCATACCACTATAGATAAATCTCTGCCAAGCAATGCTAAAGGAATCAGCAAATGATGGAGAAGATCCTCCTGATGCCAAAGAAGTATTCCAGAAGCAGAGCGTCAAGGCAGGGAATATACCAGTGGAACCCATAACCAAAGGGCCTTGTGAGGACACTTTGACGTAGGATGGGGATTCTGTTACGATCATCGTCATAACCACCTTCTAGGCGCTCCAAGGATAGGACGCCTGGACCACTTCACCATATATCCTTACCATATATGGACTCAACACGTGGCTATCATAGGATACCCACACCACCAAGGGACATTTGGACATCCCTCGGACATTCACAAGTCACGTGACCCTATGTCACGATGACATCATAGACCTAGACCATGTAGAAGCATCGAGGCTCCTACAGACTCGTCTGGACTTAGCTACATCATAGCATGCCATAGCACACCACTATGGCCTAATCTTGTGTATTAGGGTACCGCTGGGCTTACCCCCAGTACCAGGGGTCCTACCCCACTAAGATATATACTAGTTTGAGCTGGGGCCTACCCCCCAGTTTCGAGTTAGATCATCACCCCTTCTACTTGAGCCAAAGGACCCTGGCGGGTCAGGCGAGAGTGGAGTGCGCGGGTTCTTTAGATCCATAACATTGAGGTGATACTCAGCTGCCACTCGCCTCTTCAACGTCCTTGTCGATATCGCGTCGCGCAGGTTATAATCGCACCTGCGTGTCAGAATAGTCAATTACGTAAAGGAAGAGCTGACTTCTAGTATAGCTGATTCTCAAATCGATACACAATCACTACTCAGATGTTGCTGAGGCTCGCACAAGAGCTTCGCGTGACTGAGCGCGCGGTAACTCAAATCTTCGAGTCGTCTTCAAGGTCCCGGACCACGTCAGTGGATGCAATGTGATGGGTTGACGTGCAGTGAACGTTTCGGCTCGAGGCAGCGTCGCCAAAGTGACCCACATCTCGAACACGTTTTTGATCAGCGCTCGTAGCTGTGCTGCATAGCCTGTGCGGACAGATTATTGTTTCCAACTATGACTCGTCCAAACACAGGCAAGAAGCACTCGCTACATCGCCGAGAAGACATCGTCAGGACCTAGAAATATCTTATCCAAATCGTCTCTTAAAGTCGCCTGTTTCACGAGCGTTGGGCACTATTTCCGTCCTGGCTCCCATATAGCTCTTTATGCCGACTTCAGCTCGGCCGTTTCTTACACTCTCAGCGTCGCTACACGGAACCGTTCGCCGTCTTTGCAGAGTCGCCAGCAGGTCTTTGATCAGTGTCTTTGGAATCGCCGCCTTCAAGTTTCCTTCACGCATTCCTCTATAGGCTCGCGGTCTGATGGCCAAACCACTCCTTATCAATACCGAGGCGACGGATGTCAATCCAGAGTTGTAAGTTTTGCATATCCTGACTGAAAATGTGCGTTGACGTACCCGGTCAGACCCCAGATTCGTCTGGAAGGTACGACGTGCCGATCTCACGCGACATGCTATACTCATTCGTTGACTCAGAGTTCGTCATCAAGCCATTGTTGAACGAAAATCCCGCGGTCCTTGATAATGTCCGGCTGTCCATCCGGATCGTAGCTAACGATATCCTCATTGGGCAGACAAAAGCAGTTGAGAAGGAACTGGGAGAAGCACGTCTCTGGAGGTTCAGTGACAGCATTGACGTGTGCGTAGCAGAGACATGTCTGATAATGCCAGAGGCTCATTTCCTACCCACAGCCCCTCAGGTGTCCCATCATTCCTCCTTCAGGTCTTTCGAGAGAATGGACAGTTAGCAGCTGAGCGGATGAGTTCTATATCACACAACGTCGTACACATTTGCACTCGCCTTACCGAGGAGACGACGTCAGGTATAGACCACACACAATCCGCATTCCACTGATGTTAACTTCACTTCAACAGACCCGGTGACATCTTATGACATCACGGACGTGCTTGGGGAGCTGCCATCCTATCAAGTGGATTTTATTGCGTCAACGTCAGGGTCTTTTCGTCACTCGACCCTCGTCAGAGCCTTCTGAATCACTAATGGACAAAGTCTAGGTACGAGGCCTCATCACCCCTGTTTGCAAATACCTTTTCAATATACAATTCTCGGCCAGTGATTGCTCTCGGCGAACTTGGAATCGTTGGATGCCTGCAGTTTGTTTGCCACAGAATACGACAAGAAAAAGTGCTTGTTCGGGACTTGTTGTCAATGTCGTACAAAGGCCTTCAATTCCTGCAAGCTATCAATGCAAGTGGAGCCACAGTACAAACCATAATTGCTATGGGCAATGCATTCTCCAGTGCCTACACCCTTTGTCGTGATCCCGCCGATCTCGACAGTGCCATCCAAATCTTCGCGTACGCCATAAAGCGCTGTCCAGATATCGACCCTGGTAAACCTAAACACCTACACGACCTTGCGCACCTGCTTCTCGAGCGCGACCATGGCGATGACATCGACTCGGCATGCTCGGTGCTCGCGGATGCTGTCCGGCTCGATTCCGAGAACCCGAAACTTATGCAGTGTCTTGCGCAAACGCTAGGCACGCGTTACAAGAAACGTTCCAACGATCCTGCGGATCTAGAGAGAGCCGCCCAGATATGGGAGCGTTGCTTGCAGTTCACTCCACAGGGTGACGTGCGTAGGCCTGCACGCCTCGCCAGCTACTGCATATGTCTCGCCGACCTCTCGAAATGGAGGCGCATACCCCTGCTTCAAAAGGTTGCCGTTATGGTGCATCAAGCTACCCAACGCTTCACACATCGCTCCGCCGAAAATGCTCCGTTATTGCATGTTCTCGGCGTCTCGTTAATGCGAGCCTTTGAATGCACTGGTGGCGACCTCGGTATTCTACATCAAGCAATCAACATGTTATCGGCTGCCATCCAACTTACTGCGCACGATAATTCGGCATACCCACACTTCATGATTGACTATGGTCATGCGCTTTGGGTGCGTCATCGTTGGATCGGTGATGCCGGCGACCTCGATGAATCTATTCGGGTCCTCGAGGATTTGGCAGGATCTCTCACCAGTAATCACATCTGCTGGCGTGACATCCAAATCAACCTTGGCAAGGCGTACCTATACCATTTCCAACGCAGCCATGATATGTCTGATATCAACAGAGCTATAAAGATGCTGGACAAAGTTCTGCACCTCATTCCGAGTGGACAACAGTTCGATCACTACGTGCATGGTCTACTTGCCCAGGCACTGAACTGGCGAAGTTACTGGCAAAGCAATACGAGTTCCAAGTGCGACGAGGGAGGGGACATCGAGAGGTCCATCTCCCTATACCAGAAAGGTATCGACAATATGGCAGAGAATGATCCCGACATGTACCAGCACCTGGGAGGTCTCGCTATTGCGCACATCATACGCTATGAGTCACTTCAGGACCGCAGTGATATGGATCGAGCGACTGTGCTTCTCGAGAGAGCTCTAATGCAGACCCCGGATGGCCACCCGCATCAAGCACTACAGTCGCACATTTTGACGGATGCGCTCCTCGAGCGCTCTCAGAGATTCGAGACAGCGGAGGACCTATTAAAGGCTATGCTGTATTATTCCATGGTTGCCCGGTCGAGCTCAGCAACCGTCTACCACAGATTCATCGCCTGCAACTCATGGGCAATGTGCACTCGTCTATTGAAGAACTCTCAGTCGTTGGAGCCGTACTCCCTTGCAATCGAGCTTTTACCCCAAATTGCCTGGCTTGGGTTGTCCGTGAAGGATAGCCAGCGTCGCGTGAAGAATGCAGGACTCATAATCTCAGAGGCTGCTGCATCGGCCATACAATTCGGCCAGCTCGAATTAGCTGTTGAGTGGCTAGAGCAAGGCCGTTCGATCGTATGGGGTCAGATGCTCCAACTTCGCACTCCACTAGATGACTTGCATAAGGCGCATCCTGACCTGGCAGTGGAATTACAGCGCTTATCCAAGGAGTTGGAGATCATGCGCATTCACCGGAGTGTCATAGATGTTGCCGATAGCTCCCTCAGATCGACCGGAAGGTCCACCCATGATCTAGCTTGCGAGAGAGAAGACCTCCTGCAGAGGATCAGGACGTTGGAAGGCTTCAAGCAATTTCTGTTACCAAAGACTTTCTCGCAGTTACTCTCAGCTGCAAACGACGGCCCTGTGGTCATGATCAACGTCAGTGGTCTCCGTTGTGACGCATTGATCTTAATTCAGGACGTAAATGAGCCCATTCACGTTCCTTTGACCGGATTCTCGTATCAGCATGCTCAGGAGTTGTACAACTCACTGAGAACCTGCATTGCTGCTAGCGGTCGCGACATCATTTCGAATTCAAATAGGGAGGCGAAATCCGTACCGTCAAAAGAAGCTGAATGTGGCCTCGCTTCAACGTGGCCTCCATCCCTCGATTCCTTTTCCAGGGTTAATGCGCGCGATATTGCATCGCATACCGATCGTTTAGCGAAGTTAACGTTGGTCGATCGACCATTGCAAGGACCTGAGACAGTCCTCGAACATATTCTATCTGAGCTTTGGCACCGTGTTGTTAAACCGGTCCTAGACAGCCTAGCTATCTCGGTACGTTGCCCTTTTGTGTTCAACACATGGAAGCATTGAGTTTGCTGTATCAGTCTCCTTCAGCAGGCGAGCCCCACAAACTTTCCCGCATATGGTGGTGCCCTACTGGCCCATTGGCACTTCTTCCAATCCATGCGGCGGGCATCTACGGCACAGCTGAACCAGCACCGAAACTACACGACTATGTCCTGTCGTCGTACACACCTACGCTTACCACCCTGATCAACGGCCACCACAGAAATGTTCCACGTCGGCCCAAGATCCTCACAGTTGCACAACCATTTGCCCACGGACAATGTCCTATTCTGGGGACGCGACATGAACTGGATATCATCAGCAAGCGTATAGAAGACTTCGCTTCCGTACGACTCGAGGAAGATGCTGCTACTGTCGAGGAGGTCATGAATGCGATGACAGAATCTAATTGGGTTCACTTCGCTTGCCATGGTGTCCAGGACATGCGGAATCCGACGGAAAGTGCACTGCTACTTGCTGGCAGCTCACGGCTGACGATGTCGGAGATGATGTCGTTATCCCTTCCCCACGCGGAACTCGCATTTCTTTCCGCATGCCAGACAGCCATGGGGACGGAAGAGCTAAAGGATGAGGCGATCCATCTTGCGGCCGGGATGCTATTCGCTGGTTATCGCGGCGTCATCGGGACGATGTGGTCTATCATGGACAGTGATGCCCCTCAGGTGGCAGACGATGTATATGCACATCTGTTCAAGGATCAACAGCCTGACGCGACAGAGGCAGCATACGCTTTGCACGTTGCAACGACAAACCTGCATAAGCAGGGCAAGCCTCTACTCAATTGGGTGCCATTCATTCACATCGGCGTTTGACGTGGAATGTGAATAGCATCGATGCATGGGGAATGTAGGAGTTGAAATGTACGGCATGCCCCATCCTGGCAGCCACTCATTCCATCCTAATGTCAGCTCCGCTTTGTTCACATGGGTGTTTGACGGGGGCAACGAGAGATTGTAGAATGCATCACTTATCTTTGGTTTGGCCCTTGCTTGTGATGTGGGTATTGTACAATGGCCCGCTGAATTACTAGCTTCATCTAGCATCCATCATATACCTGACTAGCTTCGCCTTCCACTTCTCAATATATCTTGCAGTAAGTGCAACGCTTCCGTTCTATGGGGAGATTCTGCATGTGCACGGTATGATGTAAATCATGCCTATTCGTTGTCTATCCGATTTTTGGCTGGCTGTATCATCAGCTTTCATTGCATGTACCACGATTGCACACACGTTCCATGAATAACTGATGCGTCCACTTAGAAGGTTTTTAAGACATGCCGCACTGATAGGAGCTCGTTCGTGATGGAAGGTCTGAAGACTGAGACCACATCGCGGAATTATGAATGAACGCTATTGAACAAAGTTAGACTCGGTGGTGCCGCATTGTGCAACGGTGCAGATATGAAGGTAAATATTGTGCCAGGCGGTGGTTAGTAGTACCTTGACCTTGGCGCCTGTGTGTGAACTCGCAGCCAGCCAGCCTGATGCGTAATAGCCGCCGGGCACTACCTGTTGGAAGTGGCCGACCGACGGCACTTTCGGTAGAACGCGCTCAACGCGTCGGGAGGGAGGAGCGCCAAGCGATGGCTGAAACGCGTCGCAGGC